GAATGGTCACGATTATTCTTAGAGAAAGGTTCGGCTTGTGGGCAAACTCATCTTTGATAATCTTTCTCAGCTCCACTCACAGAAAAGGTGGGGGGTTTTAAAAATAATCAAAGCTAGAACAACAACAATAAAATAATAAGAATAATAAAAACAAAGACAGTTTACTATTGCTACTATAGCAAATTACTGAAAACTTAGTGGCTTAAAACAACACAAATTTATTATCTTACAGTTCTTGAGGTCAGAAGTTCAAAATACATCTCACTGAGCTAAAAATCAAGATGTCATCAGGCCTGCATCCCTTCTGAAGACTGGAGGGGGAAATCAGTTTCCTTGCAGTTTATAGAAGCCATGTGCATCCCTTGGTTCATGGCCCCTTCCTTCATCTTCAAAGCCAGCAGTATAGCATCTTCAAATCTCTTTCTTTCTCTGACCTCTGCTGTTTCCATTGTCACATCTTCTGTGAGTCTCCTGTCTCCCCCTCCTGTCTTTCGCTTATAAGGACCCCTGTGATCACATTGATCCATTGGCAGAATCCAAGATAATCTCCCCATTTCAAGATCCTGAACTCAATCTCATCTGCAAACTCTCTTTTGCCATGTGTCAGCCGAGGTGGGCTGAAGTGGGATTCGAGGAGGTGAGTGGCCCAACCAGAAAAATGCATGAGGAGCTGCCATACCACGAGACGGACTGTCCAAGGAGCCGACATGGAGCGAAACAGCACTTTATTCTACTACCACAAGGTAGTGCGTGCTCTCTGTGGTGCACCTGTCCTGCTTTTATCTATGTTCTGCCTGCACATGCACAGTGTTCATTTCTTTGTTCATGAAGCTTACATAACACCACTAGCACATGAGTACTTCCACTTTCTTTGTTCTAAAACTTACACAACCGGCACAAGCATACAGTCATTATTTACCTTATACTACAAGCATGTTGTTGTGACCCTGCCTTGGGTCCCACAGCCTATTCATTCAAGGTCACTGACACCATGTAAGGCACCATATTCATGGGTTCCTGGAATTAGAACATGGACATCTCTACAGGCCATTATTCTGTATACAGGTGGGCTCAGAACCACGGATGAGAAGCAGAATGGAAATGCACCGTGGTGAGTGGGCTACAGAGCTCCAGGCCCAGACGTTCAGGGAAGCTCAGTGGAATTTCATTCCTGGGTGATCATTGGAACTAAAGCTCTCAAATTAGATGGGGGATGGAGCTGGATCCCTGCTTAAAGTTGTGGGCTGGGCCAGCCTAGGCTAGGGGCTGACCGAGATTTCTACTGAAGCCTGCCTGGGCTAAGCCGCGGGTCCAGAGAAGTGGGGTGACCAGGACTTATCCTGTGGCCCAGGGAGTAAATCAGGCTATACACTGGCTTAGTGCCAGGATCCGTGTCATCCTTAACTGCACCGTGGGGCAGCAGTGTCCAACCGTCATATTGAGAGCCAGTCCTGGACTAAAGCCTCGAGGATGGGAAGGAGGTAAATGTAAAACTGTAAGACTGGGAGGTGTGAGCACAGGAGAGACATGAGGAGGAACATGACAAACTCTGAACATGGTCCATAAACCCATATAAAACCTCAAAAAGATGTAAAACTAAGGCAGTCAACAAAATCAGTAAGTAGCATCTGAGTTTATTTCCGGTGAAATTAGTTTAATGAAATGATCTGACAAAGACTTTAAGCATGTTTAGTTCGCCCAAAGAGATAAATGAAGGATCCTGAGGTCCTGCTTCTATTTGGGAAGTCTTCACATTTTATAGCAAAAGAAGAGGAAAGATCACCCAAAAGTCACTTCCCCTGAGTCCCCTAGACCAGTGCTGTCCACTAGAATGTTCTGCGATGATGGAAGTGTTCACATCTGTAATGTACAATAAGGTAGCCACTAGCCACGTGTGGCTGTGGAGCATGAAACTGTGGCTAGAGTGAAGAACAGAATTTTACATTTTATTTCTGTAGTTCTTTTCAATTTGAGTAACCACAAGTGGCTGGTGGCTCCCCAGTTGGACAGTGCAGGTCTAGATATTTTTTTAATGTGTATTTTTGGGTTGTGCCACTAATATATGCATTATAGAAGATTAGATGCATGTTAAATTCAAATTCGGGGGCCTATGCTTCTAAATTTTTCTCTACTGATGTCAGATGTACTTATAAATACACACACTTTTCTTTTCAGAAATGGGATCATACTTAACATACTGCTTTTAATGTTTAAAAAAAGTAATATACAGGGAACATCTCCCCATGCCAGAACTTTATGTTTACATAATTTGAAAAAAAATTTTAATTGAAGTCTATGGTGTACCAACACAACAGTTTGGATTTTGTTAGAGAAAAGGAGTGTGTCCTTACTTTGGAGGCTATTTGTAAGGAAGATCTCACAACTGGGATTTTAAGGTCCAAGCTTGAAAAGGTGGTTCCTTTGCCAAGTATGTAAAAATGTCCTGAGAGGCTGTATTACCCACAGAGAGAACACAGAGATGTCGTGTCCAAATTGAAAAATAATTCTGAGCCTGGAGCACGGCTATTGTTTCATCTGGGAGACAGGACAAAATTTTGTCTTGAAAGATGGAGGGATGCTGGATCCTTACCCTTTGCTGAATGTTGGCTACATAGTTTATCCATAGCTTATTGGCTTTTCTGTAATAAAGAGTTTCTCAGCTCAAAAATTCTATTCTGTTCTATTCTTTTTTTTATGTGTAAATATTTAAATTGATTAAAAAAGACGTTATTGATTAATTCCAAATCTAGAAAATTGGTCACATATAAGGGAATAGGTTGAGATATTTATACTAAACATAACACATTTTAAGGTGTGTTTTGGAATCAAATTTAAAATAAACATACTGTTGTTTTTACATCGTTTATATTTTTTAACTTCCTTGCAGAGCAAATAGTTAAAAAAAACCTATCAAGCGCAAAGGGGCTGTTGTGTGGGTACTGTTAGGACTACAATAAGGTAGTTATTCTATTCTGTTCTCATTAAGGTCATTCCACAGACTTAAACGGCTCCAGTCCACCACAGCCCCAAGTAACATTCCTGTCAATTCTTAACTTTGAACTTATCGTTTATAGAGAGGCAGAGAAACTGCCTCATTTGGAGACATAAAATCTTTCAAACAAGTAGAACCCCTTTTTAGTTGGCAAGGATTTTAATGGGCATCTGCTTGGTACACATGTTAGGCCACATTGCATGAAACTGAAGAGTAGAGGACTTTTTTCAGACCTCAGGGGTTAAACTGCAGATCTGAGGTGGAAGCTCTGAATCAGGACATGAGTTCAAATCCTGGCCACTCCTCAGGCACCTCCTCTGGGTCCAGAGCAAGCTGGCTCATCTCTGAGACTCAGTGCCTCCGTTTGTAAAGTGGGCCAGAATTAGTAACTAGCACATAGGGTGTCTAAGGATGAAATGAGTAACGCCCGTAAAGTGCTTACCTGTGCCTGGCGCCGGCAGCACCCTGGGGATGTTAGTTAGTGATATAAAACAGGTGTCAATGATCTGAAAAGGAATTTATGGTCCTAATAAACTGAAAAGGTGCTAAGAAAAGGGGCAAAGCGGCAAAACAGTGAGGTCAGAAATTCGATGGTAAAGCCAGTCGGGCAATCTTAAAACTAGAGGAAGGACATTTCAACAGAAGTAGAAAAGGAACTTGGTAGGATTATACCTTTGGAATCTTTGAATAGGTGAATCTTTTTATTCTCAGGAGCCCTCAGTTAATAACTCTATATGTAACTGACTTCTGGTCTTCACTGATTGTGGAGGATTTAGACAAAAAAACTGACCAGTTCAATTCACAAGGAGATGAGTTGAATGTCAGACATACGTGCTGAACAAAATTAAAACTACTCCGAGCTATCTGGGCTAAGGAATAGTTTCTCTTGATAAATAAATGATTAACAAATACTGTGGACAGTAAAAAAAAAAAAGGAAAAAAAAGAAGGGGAAGTTTTTTTCCCTAAAGATTACTTCCTTTTTATTACTTTCTTTTTAAAAAAAATTTTTTTATTAAAGTGTAGTTGATTTACAGAGGGGTAAATGTTTTAGTCTTTCATTTAAAAATAACATTTCATCTATTTATAATTATATTTAATATCAGATATCATATTTAAATATAATATTTAAAATAGAATATATTTATTTATACTAATATTAAAATATAATATTTAAAATATAAATTCTTATAATATTTAAAATAATTAAAATATTTGATAATCACATGACATATTTTAGCCCTCTCAGCCCATTCTCTGTGAATGCTCCCCCACTGAACGTTTACTGCTTATCTGCAAATGGTTTTCGATAAGAAAGATTCTTTCACCAAAACAGAAGGTGCAAACAAAATAATGCAAGTGTTCAACTTCATCAGTAATGAAAGAAATATGTATTAACCATGAGCTGCTATTTTTATTCAATTCAGAAAGATTTTTGAAACATAACAATGGCTAACAGAGGCAAGGGCTTGGCAGAATGAACACTTCCGTAGATTTCCAGTGAGCAGCAACAACAAAAACAAAAAGCATATTGTCCCCAAGCTCAACAAGGGAATATTTAACTAAAATGTGCCACCCACAGGAAGGAATTTCACAGCCAGTAAAAGTGAGGCTCATGGAGCTGTGACATGGTAAAACTCACACACACACACACACACAAGAAACAAAAGAATACGAGGTACTTAGGATACCATGATTACAGCTGTGCCTAAAAAATACACAGGAGTCACAGGAAGAAATATAGCCACGGGATGACCAGGCAGTGAGATGACAGTGATCACCTTCCATCTTTGTTTTTCTCAAAGTTCCAACAATAAGGATGTATTATTTTTAAATATTTTCTTTTATAGTTTATTTAAAAAATTATTTTAATTATGTAAAAATCTAGTAGTCAAACATCACCGCTCTCAAGGTGACAAAAGCCCAGGTTGCAGGGACAGTGGGACTCTCCATACCAGCCTCTGAAGGTTTCTAGAACATTCCTGAGAGCCTCAGAGCCTACCTGGTGAAAAAGACTTTGCTAGTAACCTGTACTTATCCTTGGGGAAAAAGGTACTAAGCCACCAGAGCTTCATGGTGCAGCGAGGCTTTATAATCCTAAACAATTTTTCCTCTTATTTCACCTTCTCCATCTTGGCCAGCTTTTTTTTAACTAAAAAAATTAAAAAAATTTTTGGGGGTGGAGGAGGTGATTAAGTTTATTTATTTAATTAGTTTTTTAATGGCGGTACTGGGACTTGAAGCCAGGACCTCGTGCATGCTAAGCATTCGTGCTACCACTGAGCTGTACCCTCTCCCACGTCCCCCTTGGTCAGCTTTTCTAGACAACTGAGATCTTTGGGCATAACTTGGGATTTTGGAGAGACATCATGGCGAGCATCCCTCTCCATTCCAAGTGGTGATGGTTTCCTATTTTCCTATAGGTAGAAATCCCCTGGGCTCCTACCTTTCTCAGGAGCACACAGCCCCTGGGGAGCTTCTTGAACGCCCCTACTATCTGGGACGAGTCCTCGATGGATTTTTACCTGGCTTTAGAAGGAGAGAGGCAGAGTATGTAAGAGATAGCAAAATGGGACATTCTTGATAAGATGGAAGGTAGGTTCTGTCTTATGACCAGAAGGAATGTGAAAAATTATAGTCTTAAAAGAAAGTGCCCAGGCAGGGTAGAGCTCAGTGGTAGAGCGTGTGCTTAGCATGCGTAAGGTCCTGGATTCAATCCCTAGCACCTCCGTTAAAATAAATAAAAATCTAATTACCTCCTGCCCTGCAAAAAAGCAAAAAGAAAGAAAGCAAACAAGGGCCAGCATTATCTGAGTGGAGACTGCTAATAATTGTGTGATGTCCTTTAAAACTGCAGACCGAGATTAGACCATTTGCCAAAGAGCCCCTAAGTACATAAAAGCAGGAATTCTGGTTTCTCCATTTCTCTTTGAAACTATTACCCTCTCTCTTCACTGCCTTCTCTGCCTTTGCTGATTGAGAGTGAGGAGCCCACAGAGCATCTGTCTACGCCATCGGACTAGGATTTAACCTACATCTTACTGGTTCAGCATGTTTGCATTCACAGAAAGAAAATTTTGTCTCTTTCCCACCTACCCCCAGCCCCATTCAATTCTTTGTGCAGTTTCGACCTCAAGAGTGTTTTCTCATATAGAAATAGAAGTTGCAAATCTCCCAGGAAGTTCTTTGGAAGCTCAGTTGTAGAAAACATATTTTCCCACCATCACTGTTTTCTCTAACATCTTGGAAATATCTTCAGCCTCCAACATCTCTTGAAGGGAGCCATTCATAGGCAGAAGAGCTTTTTTGTAGAGGAAGTTTTGCCACATTGGCTAGTTCCTCAAAGCAGTAGTTTTCGAGGCTGATATGTGGGCTGGGGTCCGTGGGTGACAAGGATTTTACAGATTTGTGCAAAATGAGAAAAATAAGAGCAATGCAAGAGTTTTTCAAAGAGGAATTTATTTTTTCTCACTGTGATGTATTCTGAGATGGTGTTTATTTATTTATTTGTTTGTTTGTTTGTTTATTTATTTATTGAAGTATAATCAGTTTACAATGTTGTGTTAATTTCTGTTGTACAGCATAGTGATTCATTTATACATATATATTCCTTTTCATATTTTTCTATTATTTCTTTATCAATATAAGATATTGAATACAGTTCCCTATATTTTATAGTGCTATAGAGTAGAACCTTGTTGTTTATCTATTTTATATAGAGTAGTCAGTATCTACAAATCCCAAACTCCTAATTTATCCCTCTACCTCTTCTTTCCCCCACCCCCAGTAACCACAAGTTTGATTCCTATGTCTATGAATCTGTTTCTGTTTTGTAAATAAGTTCATTTATCTCATTTTTTTAGATTCCACATATAAGTGATATCATATGGTATTTTTCTTTCTTTCTTCTTTCTTTTTTTTTTGCTGTGAAATAATTTATTTTCCTAACCACGATGGGATTTCATTTTTTAAACATTTTTATTGAGTTTACAATATTGTGTCAAATTCCAGTGTAGAGCACAATTTTTCAGTTATACATGAACACACATATATTCATTGTCACATTTTTTTTTTGCTGTGAGCTACCACAAGATCTTGTATATATTTCCCTGTGTTATATAGTATAATCTTGTTGTGTCTCTATTTTTTGAGTTGAAAATGCCTTGTATAAAAGTAATAAGTGATAGGCTTAAAATTAAAATGTGGATATTTACTCAGTAAAATCAATGCACTGTAAATGCCCAAACATTTTTGTTAATTTTACAGCGTTGTGAAATCCAAAAGTCCAGAGAACCATCGTTTTAATGGACTTATTCGGATTTCATTTGAGATAATGGACTAAATGGGACTTCGTTGAACTTCATTCTGACAGGGAAAGTTTTGTAAAATCCATCTCTACACATTAAAAATTCAGCCTACTTGGAAGCCACCAAGATGTCCTTCGGTAGGTGAATGGATAAATAAATAAAATGCGATGCATTCAGACTATAGACTATGATTCAGCATTAAAAAAAATGAGCAATCAAGTCATGAAAAGACACAGAGGAAACTTAAATGCAAATCACTAAGTGGAAGAAGCTAATCTGAAAAGACTACATATTCTAGGATTTCAACTTTGTGATATTCTGGTAAAGGCAAAACTTGAAGGTGGCAAAAATCTCGGTGGTTGCCAGGGGTTGTGGGGAGAGAGAAATGAATAGGCAAATCACAGAAGATTCTTAAGACTCTGTCTGATGCTATAATGGCAGGTACATATCATTATAATTTCATCTAAATCTATAGAATGTACAACACCAAGAGCAAACCCTAATTTAAGCTGTAAACTTTGGGTGATAATGATGTCAATGCGCATTCATCAATTGTAACAAATGTGCCATCTGTTGGGGATGTTGGTAACGGGAGGCTATTCATGTGTAGGGGCAGGAGGTACGTAGGAAATCTCTGTATCTTCCATTCAGTTTTGCTGTGGATCTAAAAATGCACTTCAAAATAGTGTTTGTTTTTTTTTTAAGTCAACCTACCAAAGAAATTTAATGATCAATTAGAACCACCGTGGAGGAGCAGAGATCACCAGCCAGATAATCAAGACCAGAACATTGATCTCTTAGGCCTCAAGAACTTCAGAGATCATCTCTCACATTTTCTCAGCTGAGAAAATTGACTTTGATGGTTTCCAGTCCTGGCACTGCCACTAATTTGCCAAGTGACCTTGAACTAGCCACTCACCACTCTGGTCAGTTTCCTTGACTGCGAACAGCCCCTTCCAGGTGTGAAATTCTGTGACTTAACAAGTCAGTGATCTCCAAGTTCAACATATTAGGGAAAAGAGATGGTTCTTCATGGGTATGGGGTCAAGTCTGGGGAAATTCAGACTGATTACAGAAAGCAAAACACTCAGTGAAACAAAAAAACTGAGAAACAGGTTTTTTTATTGCCCTAAGTGGCCATAACTTATAAGCTGTTATTCTAGAGTAGCTTGGTATTGAGGGGAAAACTAACAAGAGATTCCTACTTACCCAACCCGATTTTTTTTTCATTAAACTTCATGAAAGGTGAGGTGTCCTGCTCAAAGGGCAGTGGATCCAAAACAGACAGTTGTTGCCCCCTAGTGGACACCCAGCATGGGGCTCATCTCTAATTTCAGAGATTACAACTTGATTCCCCAGTGGTTGCTAGAATTGGTCGTAGAGTTGGAGGGACCTTAAGAAGCCACCTTTTTCACTTCCTTTACTTTGCAGATGGGGATGTTGGCACATGAAGTCACACAGTGGGGGCCAGGGCTTTTTGTCCCAAGTCCACAGCCCACTCCCCTACAACACGGGGCTGTTTCATTAGGCTGCATGGACTCCACCTATGTCTACAGACTCTCTGAGGGAGAGGAGCTCTTATTCACTCCTCGTGGCAGGGAAAGAAAGATGCCACCCATGTCAGCTGGCCTCCCACTGGAATGTGGGTGGCAGGAGGATGTCTGGACACAGCCACGTGACCTAATAAGGCAAGCACACAGGGAGAACACTATGGAACGTAAAGGCAGACATGGGATGTGCCAAAGTGCTCGGCAAACCACCGGGCACTAAGAGAGCAGCAGGGAGTAGAATCTCCCTCAAAGTCCTCAGAGGGGACCAATCCTGTGCGCAGCCTCTTAAACTTCTGGCCTCCAGAATGATGAGACGATCAATTTCCATCCTTATGCCAGGACGTCGGTCTGTGGTACTCATCCAGATTTTGCAGTGCTTTCTCTGTCACTCACTGGTTGTCAAGTGCACTTTGATGTTGCAGAACCAAATGAAGCTGCCTTTTCTCCAAACTAGCCCATGACTGTGACATTTCAAGATGTGAAATGGGCATGTGAACTTAGAATTTCAGAGTCGTTAGATGGAAGGAACACAGTCCAACCACTTATTCTGATAGAAATTCCTTATACAATATTTCCTTCAGCCGGGGCAGAAGAGTGCTGCACCCTTAAGGCACACAGAAGGCAGGACAGCCCAAAGACAGATGAGATATTCTGTAATGGAATATTCTGTTACAGAACAGAGATGCAGCCCTAGAACACAGCAAAGACTTAGTGAGCTCGACCAACTTCCATACTTGGAGGAAATGAGGAAAATGGGGCTGCCATCTGTGCGCTCAACTCTAAGATCACTTGTAAAGGACA